GAATAACTTATGAGGAACTTTGTATAAAATTTTATCGACACTTCAAAAAAAAAATTTCAGAAAAATTGAATATTTCAGTTGTTTATAAATATCTCAAAAAAAGTCTATTTGAAAATTAAATCATGTAAAGAAAATGCCAATCTAAATAACTGGTAAAATTTTCAAGTATCTACGACTTATATTTTTTGAATAATAACAAACATTTAAAATCGTTTATTTGCTGAATAATAAATTATGCACATGCAAGAACAAGGAGAGTGCATGTCGGCGTATATGTGTCGGCGTGTATCACWCGGAGGTCGGTGAACGAGAGGGGGAATCGACGGAGACTAGTCCCCCCCTCCATCGACTCATCACCACCCCTCCAAACACCATCAACTACGATCGGTAGTACGGACGGGGAAAAAAATTACGCATTCAATACGCGCGTAGTTCGGTAATTCAACACAACGAACAACCAACTACGAACATTTTTTTCGTCACATCACCTAAAAGCACCCGTTCACAGATCCCCAACCTACACCACCCCTCCACCAAACACGCTCACCTCACCGGGGACACGGGTGTTCAACCACACGGGTGACGGGGATGCAAGTGCACACACTAGCGCACATGCTACACACACCCACGTTTTAGGTCAGCCAGCGCGAGTAGAGCATCGGAAAGGCACAGTGACAACTGATAGGGACAGTGTGGTAATGGYGGTTAACACCCACTACCAAACAGTCGCTGTCCCGGTTCAGAACCAGTTGTACCGCACTACCGATTTCCTGGACAAAATTCCCACCCCCGCGATCGAACACGAATTTCCGTCAGGCTTCGTAACTGCCTTATTAGATTYGCAGACGCAAAATCGTACGTAAACCCGACCGTAGCCCGTGTTGGGCATTATACATATAGATTAAATTGTCTAGATACAATTTTTGTATATTTTATCTCATCTAGGTAATTTTTAAATGCTTTATCTATTATCTTATCTAGATAATAAAAACGGTATTTTTTTTAAATTATCAAGATAATTATTTACTGAGTTGTGTGTTATTTTTTTTTTAACTTATTAAACAAAACTTATAACAATTAAAGTTGTTGTCTATCACCACTATCGCAGTGGGTACTACTACCACAATATTACCATTTTCTGTAAAACAGCTGTCTCAATTGTCTGATACTGATATCTACGGTAGCTGCAGTTTATCAGCAAATGTTCAAGCACTAACTTTTTTAGACATTAAAAAAAAGAAACAAAAAATCTGCATATATTGAATCAGTATCCAATTGTAAAATAAGTGTTTCTCAAATACAATACGACTTWACATTCCTCAGTCCCAGTTGAGAGATTATTTAGTGCAGGCAATCAAATGACACCTCGAAGAAATCGTCTAAAAAACAACAATTTTGAACAATTACTATGCTTAAGATCAACTAAAGAATAGGTTAGGTTATTACTTATTACTTATAATATTATATTCATGACCACAATAATTGACTAATATTAAACATAAGTGTAATATTATATTTTAATATTTATATAAATTAAAAGTTTTTTTTTTTTTAAATATGYAACCAAATGAATCAAACATTACAAACTACCAATCTGTTTATATGACATAAAATAAATAAAATATCAATGTAAATTTACAGTATATTTTTTTTTATATATAATCAGCTATTAGCTAATGTTTATTTGTTATAAATTATCTAAGTATTATCTAGATAATTTTTTCTTGAAATTATCTATTATCTAGATGATTTTATTTAAATKAATCTATTATCTCATCTAGATGATTATATTGATAAATATCTATTATCTTATCTAGATAATTATTTGATTATCTGTGCCTAACACTGACCGTAGCCCGTAAATACGGCACACAACACCAAGCATCGCCGTGTCAAACAGCCAAGGTCCACTGGGGTGCCGCCGACCACACAGTCGAGGCCGTCGCAGCTGCCAACGCCAAGGCCGCCACAGCTGCGCAAGCTACACCAGACACAACCACACACCGACACCAGTACAAGTGTACCCCGTGTGGTGGTTTGGCGGGGGAGTACGCAGCAGCAGCCAGTACAAAGTACAGGCACCACCGCGACCGATCTACGACTTTATCAACCACCAACGCGGGTGACAACGACGCGACACCGTCGACTCTCGCTCCACGCCGAAAAGGCTAGGCGGGACGGGAAGACAAGTCGCGCCGGACGAGTACCGGCCGTCGGCCACATCGGCGACTTTGGCACCGACCAGACTGCGGACACGTCGTCGCAACAAGGAGCTTTTTCGTCCGACCGTTGAGACGCGCACACGTCCGTCGACGAAACCGACTCACTAAAGCAACTGGCACCAGTCGTATTCATTTTGTGTGTTGTTCGTTTTTGTGTGTTCAAATAAAACGCAACGTATTGATCACCCAGAGCGACAGTTGTTTTTGTTTTAAGTGTCACCTCTACCTACACCAATCACCACACCTTGACCGGCCGACGCTCAGCCATATCAAYACCGTCGTAGCCGCGTCATGACGATAAATCGTTATCGTTACGCTATTTCGTAGAAATTTAAAATTCAAATGCACCATTTTTCAACTTCAAAATTACTTGCAAATTT